TATATATATATATATCTATATATATATATATTTTGTTTTTTTTGTTTCCCAGTTGTGTTTAATTGGGGTGGGTGGGTTGTGCTGTTTCTTCACCTTTGGCTCCTTAAACTCCAGGTCCTCTCCGTACTGTATTGAGAAGTCAATGTGTTGTAGTACTATGTTAATACCTTCTTCATCAGTGCGGTCAAAAGGGAGGAATCTTACTATACTGTAGTCATCAATCTAGATACACAAACAGATACTGTCTCATTAAAAACAGACAAATATATTAATAAAAATATCAATCTGGTCATAAACGTGATGCAGTACAAAATCAAGGCCTTTACTTACGAGACCACAAATAGCTTTAGTTAGCTTCTTGAACTTTTTGCTTCTGATTGTGTTGGAGCCGTCTTCCATCATTGAGTACATGTCCGGGTCCAGGTATCTTTAAAAAAAATGCAATGCATAAAAATGTAATCAAATTAAAACTAAGAATTGTGTCTTCAAACATGTTCAGGTTTTGAATAACATGAAAAGAAAACTTTAATCTAGTCCTAGTACAGATGACAAAGGGAATTACTGTTGTAGATTTTGTGTGCACTTAACATTGTCAATTCATATGAAACTTACTTTTCAATCTCCTTCTTTGCTTTGGGGCTAAGCAGATCCATTTTGGTCATGATGTTTACCTGAGGAATCTCTAATGACACCATAGCACTGAGGGCAGCCATGACTCCAGAGATAAACTACAGTAGGAGACAAGTAAAAGGTGTGCGGTCACTATTACATTATGTGTGTGTTTGTACAGAAATTAAGTTTAAAAAAGGAAAATCAAATAAATCAGAGGAAGACACTGTGAGACTGTTACCTTAAAAGACTCCACCATGAACTGCGAGTCAACAAGGAAAACTCCACAAACCCGAAACTCCCACTGCTGGAGCTGCTCCACCAGCTGCTTCATTACAGGAAGGTGTGTGTACAGCTCAATCTGCCCTGTAAAGAGCCATGTAAAGAGAAGCCACACCAGTTCTATGAGGCACACACGGACAACCACTTTTCCAACGATAACATACCTTGTTCCAAGACTGGAATAATGAAATATACACTCACCTGCCAAATCAATAGGTTTGTTACTCTCTAATGGCAGCAGCTCAACTACATTTAAGCATACAGACACGTTCAATATGCTGAAGTTTAAAGCAAGCATCAGAAAAGGGAAATATGGTATGGTTATTGATGCCAGACGGGCTGGTCTGAGTATTTCTGATCTGCTGGGATTTTCCCCAAACAGCCATCAACAACCATCCGTAGGGTTTACAGACAACAGCCTAGAAAAAAAGAGCGTCAGTTCTCTGGGTGAGAATTCTTGTTCATGTATGAGGAGAAATACCAGACTGTTTAAAGCTAATATGAAGGCAGTAACTAAAAATTATTACAACCTAGGTTTACAGAAGAACATCTCTGAATGCACAACATGCTGAACCTTGAATCGGATAGGCTACAGCAGCAGAACACCACGCCAGGTGCCACTACTGTCAACTATGAACAGGAAACTGAGGCTATAATTTGCAAAGGTTCAAGAAAACATAATTTAAACCCCACAGCCTACCTGAGTATTGCTGCTGACTACCTTATGATCACAGTAAATCCATCTTCTGACTGTTGATTCTAGTAGGATAATTTGTCATGCTACAAAGCTCAAAATCATCTCAAACTATGTCTCGCTGCATGCTCAATCATCCAGGTAATGAAATCCCAAAACATTGATCCTGTCCATCAAATCCGTAGCACTTTCAGTGGGAGAAACATTATATCACTCATCCAAGTGCCTTCTTCAGTCTCAGATGGACAAAATCAACGTTTTGGCATCTCAAACAAACTGACAAATCTGCAGCAACTGTGTGATGCTATCGTGTCAGAATGGTCCAAAGTCTATAAGGAATTCACCGTGTTGAATGTATGCCATAAGGAATTAAGGTAATTTTGAGGGTAAGTGGCCATGAGTGTAAATCTATTTTGGTGATTTAAACAAAATTAACAAATAACAGTGGCCAGGATATATTGAATCCCATCCACACTCCAGCACAAACAAGTGCACTGTGCTGAAGCCAATGGAAGTCTGGCTTCAGCATACCCTCTATGAAACATTTACCTGGGCAGTCAAACAATATGTAGTCATCTTCCACGTGACCCAGGCTTTCCTCCAGCCAATCAAAGTTGTTTGCGAAGTACTCCATGCAGAAAACCAGACCTCCGTTTGGGCCAAATCTTAAAGAATCGTCCTCCATCACGTCATCCACCTGAATAAGCTCACGAATGTCTGAGAGCACCGAAACATAATAAAGTTACCATGTGGGTTGTGTAAAATAACTCCTATATGCTAAATACTAAAGCAAGAATTAAAGTTAGAGCCTAATTAAAAGCCATTTATCAGGGTTATACGTATCCTCCTCTCTTCTATGGACACTGCTATGTCATATAAACTGAAACCATGCTGTATTTACCTGCCATGACAGGGTAATCAAAGTGCTCAGCTGCTGGGTCCAGATTGACCACCTGAACTGAACGGTTTAAGGTCTCTGAATGCTGGACCATGGTGGAGCAGTAGGTACTCTGAAATGAAAGTGAACTCCAGTAAACAAAAAGCAGATGCAGTCTGTGTTGAACACAAGACCTCATGCCTTAGCATTAGCTGAATAGCACAACAAGGTATTTCAACAAGTTTAACTGAATGAGTGATAACTTACCTTACCGCTACCCGCAGGACCCATCACTAGCTGTGCATAACGAGGCATTGTGCCTCAGTTAAAGAGAGCTGTGTAAAACTGGCTCCTTTTTGTCGCCAAAAGTAGCTTCGTAGAACTGTTCGTAATATTGATGCACTAGCGGTGGTGGTGCTTCTTCTTCGCCTTCTTTTTCTTCTTCGTCTTCTTGTAAGAAACATCTACATTGTATTAGCACTTCTGCCACCTATTGGTCAAAGCGTGGTTAACAAGCTTGGATCATTAATATGGCATGTACTAAGAAATCTAATAGGAAAGTTATACACTATATGAAGACGTCTTTCTATTTAAGGTAAGACATTTCCGTCAGTAGAGACAGAATACAAGTCTCTCATAAATAATTAAGTTAAATAAACGTAGGAGAATACATACATTAAAAAGCTAAAACTATTTTTCTGAGCAGTTAAACAATTTCTGAAATTACTCTCTCTCTGTATAATATGTTTAATTTATGTAAAATAAAACAAAAAAAAGAATGGGATAAAGGATAAAGTACAAAAATAACGTAATTAATAAACACTAGGGGGCAGCATTCTGTCGTCGTAGCTTCTAACCTGCATACCTCTAAGAGAATAAGAAGGAAAGGAAGTCGTTGCAAACCGACACATTAACATCGGCATGCCAAGCAAGAGCAACAACACGCAAGCGATTGCTCCTGGTCTCCTAATTTGACTGAGCCTCTAAAATCTGTCATAATTGAGGGGGGGAAATGTCTCGATAGAGTGGATGGAGCGGACAGGTGAAGCTTTTGGAAAGAGTTTATCGAGTGGAGGTGGGCTTCTTATTATCAGGTGAGCTCTTTCATCATAGTCCGTCTTGCAAAACGTTTCAAATTACTTCGCACGTTACGTAAACGGTATTAGCTTCATTATGCTCTGTGCCACACTCTTCTGCTATAACTTAAGGCGGCCCTGCTAAGCCTGTCGTCAAAGGGTCGTTAAATGTCCCGTAAGAGCTCAGACTTACAGAGAGAAGCTGTCCTTCTTTCACTGGTACATAAATAACTACAGGGCTCAATATTGTCTATGGTGGAGGAGCTTCCAAAAGCCACACACTGTCATTACCAACAGTAGCTGTGCTCATTAATGTGTTAAAAGCGAATCTACGCCAGCGCTAAAATTGGCAAGCGGGCGTTGCTAGCTGATAATAGCAACACAGTGAACGGAAGAATGCTACATGCAGGGACAAGTAGGCTAGTAGACTGGACATAAAGTGTCGCTAACCTATTTCTGTAACGTTTTGGTAAGAATGGACTGCTCGCTGCTATTGCTAACAGGTCACTTAAAAACAAGCCTTTAAGTTCGCAGCTTAATCCCGTAAACCCACAGATTTGTGGCATTCACAGACTTGGGAATACATTAGTGGAACCTCATAGTCCGTTAAATTATATAGCTTTTACTAACATTTAAAATTCTAATTGGTGATCCTTTTTTTTTTCTCCCCCTCTGTTTTCCAGAGTTGTAGGCTATGAGTGTGGGTAATGGAGGACGGTCAGCATGGGGACTTGGACTACTTGATCCAAGATGAGGACACTCTCATTGAAGGTGTCAGCAACCAGGTCTTATTTGTGGTGGTGCTCAGTGTCGCCTTCCTTGCAGGCCTCCTCACTCTCCTCTGCAGGTAAGCAATTGATTGTTTAATAAAAGGAAAGTGCCGTTTTCTTTTTCTTTGGATGACAGGTGTTCAGGACTGATAATATATGCATATATCTGAGGGTTGTAATCATGTAGAATATTGCACTTTAGGGCTACTCGTAACTCTGATGATGAAGTTCATCAGTGTTACCGTTTCATTACTGTGTTCACAGGCAGTTAGTTAGTGTATTAAAACTTAGCTCACTGTCTTGGATTTGCATTGTCACGCTCTGTTTCATAGTTTACGCTGACAAACATCTGATTGCCAAATCATCCTTTGACATTTGCAGGCAAGAGCAGCAAAATATTCATCCTGAGAATCAGGAGCATGTTCGAGCCGTCCGACAACAGCTCCAGACCGAGCAGGTAAAGACGCAAGCCCAGCTCCAGCCTTTTTAGCCCTACGTATTACTTGGAATCCTTTGAGTCGTTTGAAACATCGCCTGAACATTTCAAACTCAGGAAAGCAGAGTTTTGAGGATTATATTTTAATTTGGAGGATGTCAGCCTTTACTAAAACTATTATTTTGTTGGTGTTTAATTTCTATGTTATCTTAAGAAAGCAACCTCTAAAATTTATATTTATATCTCTGAAATTTAAAAGAAGCAATTAGTTTTGGTTCTATAACTGGCAAAAGTCTAGAAGAAGGAACTGAAAAGGTTTAAATTGTCAAGTCACAACAGGAAGTTGCAAAAGGGCTGATTATAGATAAATATTAATATTCTTTTACAGCTAGTAAATGGTTTATAATGTTTATTGTTCATTTGGAGGGAATGACTCTCAAAATTGTGCACTCTGTTATAACAAATGTGCTAAACATTTTAATTTGTATGCTTTTGATTTCATTTTGCAGGATGAAAATCCCCAGGCTGAAGCCAGGCAGCAGTATTACACAGACATGTCGTGTCCTGTATGTTTACAGCAGGCTGTTCTGCCTGTGGAAACCAATTGTGGACACCTTTTCTGTGGTGAGATTATTGTACAGATTTCAGTAATATGCACTAAACAAAACAATATAATTTCATTCTTTTAATTGCTTATTTCATTACTAAAAAAGTAGTACAAAATTGCTACAAATGTTGACATTATTTGAAAATATGCACATCAAGGAAAACATCATTTGGAATAAATATAATTTTTGTATTTATTTATGTATTTTTTTTTAGCTAATAGCTATTGTTTTGTGCTTTAGTTTTACTCATGTGCCATATCCTGTATTCTTACATAGGCTCCTGTATCATAGCCTACTGGAGGTACGGCACCTGGCTGGGAGCTATTAACTGCCCCATCTGCAGACAAATGGTGAGTCTTTCAGTACTTGTTAAAATACACACTAGGGATATTCATAAGTTGCAGTATTCATATCTTTGAATGCACAAAAATACCTTAATTTCTTTTTTTTTTTTTTTTTAAACGCGTTTAGCTACTGCCACAGTTTTTGGAAATGAGTGTTAAATGGAATAAGTGATGTGTCAGTCAGAGCGGTGCTGTGTGACCTGTCAAAAAAAACTACACATGGCAAATTTTGGGGAAAACTGTTATCTGTGCCTCTAATGTTTCAGTAAAGGACTAGATGTTACAATCCCGGACAATGCATTGCTTTTAATGGAGAAAATCTTGAAGGATGACTGTTTTAAAGAAAGCAGCCCAGAAACTTTACCAGCAGCACACATTGTTGTGTGCCTCAACTTTTGTTCTTTTACCCAAGCTTGCCTGCCATTTTCCCTGCTTAGGTTTAGGGATTAGAGATCTGACCTAAATTGTTAAATTTGCGACACATCGTCCGTAGTGGAGCAGTTTTGCTGTTGTACTGGCAACAAAGCCCCCCCCCCCCCAAAAAAAAAAAAGTGTATAAATGTCAACTGATGTATGTGATTATCATCAATATCAGTATTGGTATCCTTCTTAAAAATATCTTTATATATTTTTTTTCTTTTAATTCCAGGTAACATTGCTCTTTCCACTATTTCATGAGCACGCCGGTCCTCAGAGGGTACAGGATGGGGAAGCTGAACCTCAGCTAATATTAAGAGATATCAATGATTACAACCGCAGGTTTTCCGGCCAGCCGAGATCTGTGAGTATTTCACAGTGATATTTATTTAGATTGGGGCTTTAAGTTAGAATATTCATTCTGTACAACCCAGAATATGGTTCTATATTTTTTTGGGGGGGGGTGCTCACCTGATCGTGACCTGATCTGTCTCCTGTGGTCTTGGGAGCTGTGGACTTCTCCATGGTATAACTCCTTCTTCGACAGAGAGGGATTTAAAATTAGCAGCCATCCATGAAATGGCCGATATGATACTACCTTAAATGAGATAAACGTGAGTTATTATTGACAACTTTGTTTCTGTGGTTTACCTCAGTTTATGGACAGGCTGCGGGATGTGCCCACTCTGCTTCGTCACGCCTTTAGAGAGATGTTTACTGTGGGTGGCCTCTTCTGGATGTTCAGGATTCGAATTCTTCTCTGCCTCATTGGGGCAATCACCTACCTGGCCTCTCCGCTCGACATCCTCCCCGAAGCGCTCTTTGGTCTTCTGGGATTCATGGACGATTTCTTTGTAATTCTACTTCTCTTTGTGTACATCTCTATCATGTACAGAGAGGTGGTTACACAGAGACTGAACGGCTAGGCCTTCTCAAAAGCCTCGGGAAGAGTGAAGTCAACATCTGAGGACGTGCAAAAAAACGGAATAAATGTTCAAAGAGCAGTTAGTCGATAATACAGATTTCGCTCTCTCTCGCTCTCTCTCTCAATCTCGCTCTTTCTCTCTCTCTCTCTCTCTGAAGCCTTGGATGTTATTTTATCACAGGAGATGGGTTAGCAAAAAAAGTACTCTCAATATTGACTCTGTATATAGAATTTACCATTCAAGATTCTAAGGTCATATGAGTCAGTACTAACAGAAGCAGAATATAAGGATGCAATGTAAAAATCTACTTGGAGTCAGGCAATGAGGTCAGTCAGGAAAGTCTTTCTTGCCCATCAGTTTACAACCTTAACTAAATAGTCAACAGTGCCATGAACAGGCATTTGGTTAATGTGTATGTCATCATTATGGAGACAATCGTGTAAAACTGTAATGTCTTTATTAAATTGATTTAAAGTCATCAGTCTACATTTGGGTTGTCAGTTGACAAGCAAAGGTGTGTTACAAGAACCCTGTTAATGGGGTTATTAGAACCTGCTTTATTCACTTACAGTTACGCCCATATTTTAGTGATCTGTAACCTGCATAACCATGACTTGAAACCAATGTTTGTGTCAAAATCACTGAAGTGTTTCACCTGGAAACGTCTAGATTTATTCATCCATTTTGACATGCTTCGAACTTTCCTGGGCTTACGCACGTGAAAATATAGTGAACAACACCAACCAGTCTGGTGATGATTTCTCAGTTAGAGATGACTTTGATTTTCAAGAAAAGAAAAAACTGATTAAAGTTCATTTTTAATCATCAGCTCACTCAAGTAATGAATGTTAATGTCATCATGTTTCAATGTTCAAAGATTATTTTAAGGATTTTTTTTTATTTTTTTTTATTTTTTTTTTTTTTCCTTCACATTTCAGGATCTTAAGCAGTTTGTCAGTTCAGCTTCATGCACTACAGAGCTTTTCAGAATGTCAGAGTCTCTCAATCTGTCAGATTTTGAAATGTATTAAAGTCTTATTTATGTTCAAATTAAATTAATGTTCTATACAAAATGTGTTTTACTGAGGATATAAATAAATGGGGGATTACCAAACTGTTCAAGTGTAAATCCAGCTTGAACTTTTGACTGGTGCACAGTAAATATCTCCACCTTAACTTCTTTTATTTTATTTTTTTTTAGTTGCGATTACTTAAATAGGTAGTGTTGTCTAGTGGAGCCAGAGATAGAGAGACTTCATTATCTGCCCTTTTCCCTCAAAGTTACTGTGCAACCATGGTTACTTTTTGAGCAATGAGTCCAGGCTATTTGGTTTCTGGGGATTCAAGCCAATGTTTGATAAGCTTGTCATGGTAGGCAAAGTAAAAGGAGCAGGTTAACTGTAAATTTCACTGTATTTCAGAGATTTAGATTACCAAAAAAGGAGACCAGCAGCTACCTCATGGAATGTCTTGTTTTAGGGTGTGCCACATACCAGTATGTGTCATAGTTGAGTACTGCTCCACTAGTGTCCCTTTCAGTTTAAACTAAAGCCAGAGACAGCAGCATATGTTGTAATGCTCCAGGTGAACTACATTTGAGAGGTTTTTTGGAAGTCCCATCCTGATGTAATCTTTATTTTGGAAGCATCATGCAAGGGGCACTTTGTGCACAGGCTTCGTGTACATGCCAAAATGCATATCAGAAATGTGTAAAAATGCTGCTATTAACATAATTTCAAAGATATCATGTGCACTCATTTTCTCAGGGTTAGTGGGATTCCATCTAAATTTAGTGGAATTATGACAATTGCATGAAGAAATCAAGTGGTTTTCTTTTATGAATCATTAGTTGCTTTTGATGGGAATTTTTTGTGTGTGGTTAGACCTGCTCCAACTTTTTTTTAAGAATACAATAGAACAGAATAGCCCTTTATTGTCTTTGTGCATGTACAACAACATTTTTGTGTGGATTGATTCTGTGTGGATAATTTGAAAGCAAGAAAAATGATCCACATGTGAAAAAATAGTCGCAGGAGTGGATGTCCCCAAAAATCCACCCCTAGGTCAGACTATGCAATGCTCAAAGAATTTACAACAAACCTTAAGAGCTACAGCTCAACAACAATATCATCAGTTGAACAAGTTATTGAATCATATGTTGCACTTAGTTATTAACAAACTGTTTCTGTATTTTGGCTTAGTTTTCTTTTAAACCTCACTGGGTGTCTCACTGTGAGAAGTACCCTCTGGTGCTCTCTATAAGCATTTAGACTTATGCTTTTACGCAGCACTGAGTCAGCTGTATGTCTCCCCAAGCTTATGCGCTGCTTCCGTTTTGCTTGCCAGAAAAAAAAAGTAATTTCCTTGGATTGTTTTGTTTTTTTGCCTGTGATTGTGTCTACATATTTTAGAACAATAAATAGATGAATGTTTAATTTGGTGCTTGTTTTGTGCTAGTTTTCAAGCAAAGGCTAAATCAGCTAAACTGGCACACATGAAAGGCAGAGCAGGTTAGGATTCTTTTGAAATAATAATTGGTTGTGGACTAGCTTTTCCTGTAATTAATACCTGACAGTACATTCAAAGTGAGAACTGCCCTTTAAAACGAACTATAAACTCCGCCCACACAGCCCGCCTCTGGTAGACGCCGGACTAGCGAACCAGCGAACCCGACCATTGGCGGACGGATTGTGAGACACCCAGAGAGCCAGAGACATCTCGGGAGTGTATGAAGCTGACTATCAAGTTCAGGCTCTCTTCGCCACGTAAAGTCGGTCTACGTTAGATCACGATGAGTACATCAGAGTCTTTGGATCGTATGGAAGTGTGTGAAAGCCTCTTAACATGGGTAAGTAATCGAGTTATAGTTGTTTTTCCGCTGACAGACGGTTCTCCGGCGCCCCGGCGACGCTAGCTAGGCTAATGGTAGCTCGATGAGCTAACGGGAGTAACGTTAGCTGGCTAGAGGAAAATGACTCGCCTCACAGTGGTTACGTATGCAGGCCAGCTGTTTGCTGTGTTTAGCTGCTGATGTGTTGGTTGCTAGCCGCCAGCACACCACATACCATGGCATAACTATTGATTTTTGATTCATGCGCTGTGTAATCGGGCTTTTATCTAACGTTATTTGAGCTTTCGTTTACTAAATCCCTACCGAGTGCTGTGTCAAACCGCATTGGCCTTGTTATGATTTAAAGCTTCTTTTGGTCAAGCCTTTTTTTTTCTTTTCTTATGGTATGAGGATAAACGCTCGGCGTCTGCTTTGGGGTTAAATTCCTGTCATCGTTGTTCAGTGTAGCATATTATTATGTTCGCCTTTCTTCCTCATTCCTTCTTCTGAATAAAATGTTAATGCTAAATAACTTCTTGGGCTTGGATTTTTAACCAGACATTACCCCATATTGTTGATGCTCAGAGGCTGAAAACAGGGATTTAAGCTAAAGGCGTCGGACTGTAGAGTCACGTGCTGCAGACTGGTATATGTTTACATTGATCAATGAGGTCTCCCAACACTGGGTTTCTAGAAAAGGCATAACACGTTGTACTTGGAAAGCTGTCACATCCTCATTTACCATAGTATGACGTGACGATTGCTGATGTTAAACCAGTGACCTTAAGGTTAATAAAGTGCTGCTCAGACATGTGACTGGATGGAACGTTATGAAAACTCTGCATGGAAAAATTATATGTTGTCACAATACTCTAGTGGTAGAAATGTCAGAATTGTATAATGGAAACATCCATCTGGTGTTGGTTATATTGGAGCCGAGTTCATGCACGCTACCCTGCTTCTCTAATGTCAGCATATCTGCACACAAGCTGGTTTCTGAGCAGGTTCACTTGGGTCACCTGGAGGTTGTTGTGAGATACTTGAAGCCATAAAACATCCAGCGATTCCAGAAACTTCACTGAAGATGTGTCAAGAAGAGCAGTAGATGACCCCACAGATTAGTTTTACACACATAGCATAAAATAATTGATTCCCCTTTGTGAAAAGGCCCAGTAAACCTTTGTTATAGTGATAATGGATCTGGCAAACATACCTCACATACCTTACATGCCTATTAACAGTGAAGATACATCAATGACTAATCAGGACTAAAACGAGACGAGTGTTACTGTTTTAGATTAGTGCAGCATTAAGATCAAGCATAGCTGATTTTCATGCATGTTCTTTAGTACTTGCAAATTAAATTTGCAAGTACTATTTAATGACTTTGTAAATACTAGATTTGTTTGGAGAAACACTATTTACCTTCCCAGCTTTCTAGTTTAAAGTCTATAATATCCAATTGTGTTTGCATGAAGAGCAATGCAGGCAATTATCCTTTAAATTCACGGTGAGCCATTCAGCTTCATGTATCCTTCCTGCTGAATGGTCCGCCTTGCAAGCGCCCACAGCTAAAACAAGTGGAATATTTCCAGGAGTGAGAACACATGTGATTATCTCCCACTGCATGCTACATGTGAGTGTGTGTAGCTTTGGTGATTATCCAGACTGTTAATGAAAAAAATAACTAGATATTTAGTATATAGTGATATTTCTCAACTCATACTTTAAATATATAGGGTTGCACATGACTGGAAAATACACATCATGTACTTTTACTGCCACTATATGAAATTACTGGGTGTTTAAAAAGAATTAATAAATAAAAGCCACAGGATTTAATGTTTTTGTTGTTTTTCATTAATTTGCCCTTGGGAAGGTTGGGTATCACAGCAGGTGGAGCAGGTCATCTACTAACTGGAAGGTTGGTGGTTTGATCTTTTTTGCGCCAGTCTGCGTGGCAGAGTGTCTTTGGGAAAGATACTGAACCCAGAGTTATTCTTAATGCATGTATCAGAGTGTGAATGTGCAGCACTTAGATATAGAGAGAAGTTATTGTGTGAATGAGACATGTTGTATAAGGCCAGAATGCTTGAGTAGAAAGCCCTATATGAGAATCAGCCATTTACCATTAAATCTGAGAAAACACACAGAAGATGGTTAGTCTGGTGTATTTATCAATGTTGTGCTTTAGGGTTTTGATGCGCTGCAGATTTGAATAAGGCTAATCCAGCCTCTTAATACGTGATCGCTTACATTCTAAACTTTTATTTAGTCGTGCACACGTTCTCCACAGCTGAGCATGTCCTGACCCAGCTGTTTCTGCAAACTTTTAGGTGTGGATTTCCTGTTGGGTCTCAGTCCACCCCATGTGTTACCACCAACTTATGTACTACAGCTGACATTTATAATAATATAATTGTTTATTGTTTTTGGTTGACTAGCTGAGTTTTTACTTTTCACTACACGCTCATTTCCAAAAGTACATATGAAATCAAGTTTACGTGTTGCAGTGGCTTATGAAACACATCTTGATGAAGCATTGTTTTGGTTCAGTGACCCTTTATGGTCTATACTGTCAGTCAATGTGTTCTTATTAATGCAAGAATTATCTGTGATGGCCAAAAATGTTTGTGGTAGATATAATGCGAAGTTCCTGATCGACCCTTTTAATACACTGCTGACTCGTGAGCTGAACCTGAGCAAAATTAGAACCTCCAAATACCTCAGTTTACCCGATACTTTTTTCATAACTATAGTTTGTATCAGTTAATGAGCTAGTAAACATGTCGCTTTTGCCTGGTTTCTTTTAACGCAGAGAAAAATCCAAGTGCGCTCCAAGCGACGCAAAATTCCTCACTACAAATCACATGAGAATTTTCACTCCGCTTATTGGCCAGATGGATCTGCGGAAGGAGCAATAAAAGTAAACTACAGCAAGAAGGTGCTGTGTTATGGACATTTGGAGAACATGGAAAATTTCTGGGGGTTTTTCACGGCTAATTGCTAGCTCATACAGACCTTTGCACATCTATAAAGAAACTGCTCTGTAGTTCATTTGGAGCCGCACTGAGACCAACATCTTCAAAGGGTCTCGAATTGGTTGTTTTTGTCCACACCTGCGTGCGATTATTGTGTTCACAATCTATAAAAGTGAACCACACCAAGGGGGAAAACAAACCAGAGTTTGGTTTTAAACATAGGTTAGGGACTATAGTGGATATCTACAAGGTATCTTTGGACCGCTTCCCACTTGCCCAGCGTGTAGTAAAATGAAGAAATAACTTAAAAACTCTTAACAGTAGTGGAATCGAGATTGTGCAGGTGTTGTAGGTACTGGTACATGTTCACATTTATGTTTAAACTGTTTAAGGAAAGTTGCCTTGAGCAGGACAAAAGGGTAGCTGTCGAAGCAGTTTTTCATAAGAATCCAGGGTGCGCAGACGGTACTATTCCAGTAGATGCTGAAGTGGTTGTTGGCCTTGTTTTGCTCTCTGGTAAGTGCTTCAAGGCTTCTTGATTAGTATAATCGTAACAAGCTGAATGGAAGGTGATCCTGATAATTAAGAGGACATTTATTAGCCTAGTTTTGCTCTTTGACGAGTGCTTCAGGGTTCCACGATTAGTTTAATTAAAATAAGCTGATTGGAACATGAGCTGATGATGTCATTCAGAGGACATTTAGTAGCCTAGCGCTATCTCAAAAGTTGACATCCCATCTGAAATCAATAAAGTTTGAATTAGGCTTATATTATAAAATATAAAATATTATATATAATATTTTACACTGGGGCTCATATTCTGTTGCCCTTTAGTCGAGGCAACACAAAGGTCTATCACCGAAGTTTTCTTTCCAAGACAGTATTTACCAAAACATAGTAAATACTAACTAGATTTAGTCCTCTGTAACTACCGATTGCATGTATTTAGCTGTTGATTCACATAAACGTAGAGACTATAAAGAGGATGGATATAAAATGAAATCATATTTTTTATATTCAGTGATGTAATCCAGCATATTGGCGATAAACATTAGGTTTGATTGAAGGCTGATTGGCCTTTTGTGACTGATGTAATTGCTGGGTTAATTGTTTTTAGATTTGTGCCTGATCAACAACTGCACAATGTCCTACACCTGCACATAAAGCAACCCACCTGCACTGGTCAGCTTTGGCTTTTATTAGAAATCACATGAGCATGCATTCCTTTCCAGCTTTGTTATATAGTGTTACTGTATGTATTGCGCTGGTTTGGACAGTGAGACATACAGCTAAAGCTGTCAAGCTCACATTACCATGAAAGCCACTATTGTTTAGAAAGAATAGTGTAGGATCTTTTTCAAGCTACAGCCACACAAAAATGAAAGGAAAATTTTATCAGTCAGTAAAGTGGAAAAGTAGATGATTGATTTAAGATGACTTGAGGTAATACGTTAAATCAAGCACAAAAGCCCATTGCGTGTCAGGGGCTGTGAATTCATTTCTTTTGTACAACTCTCACAGCGTGTTGTCAGCTAAGGACTGCCCGGCATAGTGTCACGTTTGTTAGTGGTCAGTGTGGTTTTTGCAGGGCTGGCTCATCCTTTATTTTCTTTCCTTGTCTGCCTTTCCTGCAAAAGGAAATGATGCAGACCAAATATTGCTGTTGTGCAGTACTAAGTTCATAACAATAGGGATCCATGCAGCCATTTCTACTTAGATGTTTGTCTTGTCTCAGTTCCTCTTAACTCAGTGGCTGTTCAAAAGAAAAGGGATTTGTGTTGTTGTCGTGCTCGTATTTTAGTAACATATTTTTAATACTGTCTAAAAAAGCTAACACATTTAAAAGCTACAGATTTATGATTTTATTGCTACTTTAGCAAATGTTTTAAGAGGCAAGTCTTGCTATTATTGTCTATCCCAGTTGCATCAAACATAGGAAGTTAGTAAGTAACTGTATCCTGTACTTTAAAGCTGGCAAAAGAGTTTAAGTGAGCTGGTAGATGGAGTGAAAACTGTGGGTGTGGGTAATCAGGTGAAGTTTCTCTGCCTTTTTCCTAGTAATTGGTGTTACATAATCACGACTATTGTTTAGGTTCTCTTTTGTGTTGGCTCCTGGCCAGTGTCTGGCTTTCAGTTCCTCCTGCCTAGGACTATTTGACAAATCGCTTATTTTGAAAGCAGTGATAGATAAAGTTTTGCAGCTAATTGGCCCCCCAATGTAATTACAGTGCAAAAAAAAAAAAAGACAAGCGGAAAAGTCTCAAAATTTGCATATAAACTGTAGCGTTACCTTTCATGTCCAGCCTAAATACAACTGTAGTCTAAAAGCTTTCCTTGTAGATAGATGTTACTGCAATGTCATGCTGCCCTCACACCACACGAGCTGTGTCCTTCTAAGGTGCACAGTGTCAAGTGTCTTCTTGTTTACTAATCTTGTTCTTTCCTAATGATGAAATAGTGCTGTTAGTTGCTTTTCTGTGACATAATAACACACTTCCCATGGTCCCAGACTTAAATTGTTAACTTAAAATATAAATTGGTGTGAAACTGTTAAAATAGTTAGAAATCAAATTAGTTTAGTACAGTTAATTCATCCATCCATCCAGTTTCTTCCACTTATCAATAAGTGTGTGTGTGTGTGTGTAGAATAGTGAATTCATTTTTCATTTTTAATCTTGTTTAAAAAAAAAAGATAAAACACTCAATTTTAAATACATGTTAAAACTCGGTAGTGACAGCAAACACTTGTAAAAGTCTTGGTCCAGTCAGTCTCTCAGACTTGCAGCAAGATAAACATGTATTCAGTTCAGCCTTTTCAGTTTCAACCCTGGCATAACAAAGCAGGGCGGGAAAACGTACTAGACATGAATTAAAATGATGACACTCACAGAGACAAGCAGGTAGAACCGGGACAAAGTTGCTGGTGTCTTTTTGGTACCTCTGTGTCATTCATTCAGTTTGTTATGTCACTCACAGAAAAATAGATTGACGCAAGAAACAAACCTCACTAACCTGTGTCGTTGTTGATGAGCAAAATATGTGGACAGCTGGTTGGCTTTTACTTTTAATAGAGGTCTTGCATTATGTACTATATGCTATACTATATAATAGAAAGTGAGAGAGACAGAATTATGTACAAACAGGATTTTAACTAGGTTTTTCATCCCTTTTCTTAGTGTATCTTCTTCCTTTGGCTCTTGTGAAGTTGGCATGCAGACTGATATCACTTCTTTCTGGGCAACAGACTTTCTGCCTGAGGGGTATGCTACAGAAAAATGTGGAGGGTAGGAATAGAAGACATGTGAAATAGTTAGAAGGGACATAATGAAATAATGATATAATAGAAATTGAGCAGAATGACAAGTGAAGTCCACAAGAGCAATAACTGTGAGTTCTTGTTAGTACTGTGGATGATTGAGAGTTATTAAAAGACACCATTATAAAATTTGCAATGCTTACGGTGGATCTGCTCAGTGGACAGCAGATAAGTGTGTGATGACACTGGCCAGCATACAGCCGTGACAGTATGATTGTGAGCAAGGGATTCCCTAAAATAGGGCGTTTAATCTTATAATAGGCTTTTTCTAGTGTTTCAAACATGTTATACTGTTTTCAAAACACTGGTTACTCCTGTTTAATTGTATAGTTTAGTTCTGTAACCAGCACTTTGTTTACTTATTTCAGATCCAGACATTTGGAGTAGAGGCTCCATGCAAGACTGTAGAAGACCTGACAAGTGGTGTTGTCATGGCACAAGTTCTACAGAAAATGTAAGTAGTTACTGTTAATGTTTGCGTAGAAAGAAAATGCAATGTTTCTAAACAGTTTTTGATTAATCTTATTACATCATTGTAAAGTTTAGGTAAACAAATACAGTTTAATCTCTATAAAGTTATATTAAATCCATAGTCCACAAATGAATAAAAAAAAAACAGTCATTTCATTTGGTATGCTTTTTTTTACTTTTACCAAAGCCCACTTTGCATTGTTTTATTTTGTTTTTTGTCTGTTTGTCTGAAATTTCTAGAGATGTAGTGTATTTTAGTGATGCTTGGATTAGCAGAATCAAGCCAGACGTTGGAGACAACTGGAGGTTAAAGGTAAACATCACTTACTCTTGATTTCAATAATAGCAAAGTGTGCATGACATGAGCTTTGTCAAATGGTCTCTTTTTTTTTATCAGTATTTGCTGATTAAACCTGAATTTTACTAATAATATACGTTCTTCTCTTTTACAGATCAGCAATCTAAAGAAAATCTTGAAAGGCATCCTAGACTATATCCAGGAGGTAAGAGTATTAACATTACTATAATGATTTTAAAATGAACTTTCAGTACTTGACATCCAGACATTCTTGTAGAGGAGAAGTGATTGTCTACTGCACTCCAGTCAACTTAAGTCATCACAAGTCATAATAATCCAGTTGTTCTTGAGGTTTCTGATGTGATTTTATCGTTTAAAATTTTCTGTTTTATTGGATGTGATACCGATTGCTAGGTTGCTAAGACGTTGCCACGGTGGTCTGTAGTTAATCGCGTTTACTTTTCAGGTTATCTGTCGTGTTATTCTAGCTGAGGGGTAGGATAACTTCATAAAGTGTGATACCTACTGGAAATGGAGACCATTCGACTTGAAAGTAAAAGTTGTGCCCTTTGAAACATGTTGTCTGCAGCACTGAGGCACAACTTTTACTTTGTAAAAAGACCTTCATCATTTCTGGTTTGTTTCACTTTTGACAGTTTAACAGCTCGGAGAGTAGCTGGCAAGAGTTTGTAGACAAGTCCATCACTTCTAATCAAACTATAAACGCAACAATATAGTAGTGACCAAAACAATCACAAGGCGGTATTGCCATCTGGTTGAGGAATACACATTTTTCCCTTGCGACAGGTTACACAGGCCTATGTGCCTGGGACTCTAGCAATCGTTTTCCCAGCAACTACAGTCAACTTCCAGCAATGACTTGCAACTAGTCAGTGAATACTATTTCTTTCACTCACCTGGTTGCCAGATGGACTAAACCCCAATACACTGTATATGTGTGTATATAATATGTAAAATAAAATTAAAAATGCAGACGTACAACTCACTTTTTTAAATTGTACATAATATTGTGCGCCACCCCCCAGAACACACAACCAGAGCTTGGAGCTCACAACTCGAGGGGACTGTGAAGTTCCTAGAAGGAACTCTGCTTTGTTCCAATCTGCCTTTTTGTTTAAAGCTGGCAGGAAGTGGAATAAGCTCATTGAACTACTGTTTATTCCCACTCTTTCTCATGTGATGTTAAAAGGGGGATTCTCTTTTATCCTCTTGATCTATTTGTGTTTATGTGTGACAGTAATTGTTATATGGGATTTGGTGCTGTGTTACAGTCTGTGTTTTATTGAAGGAACTACCAGTTGAATTTGTGTTAGGATAATTTTTCCTTGCTTACGTGATTTTGTGTATTTGTGTTTATTGCTTGATCTCCCCAGTGACTGTGGATAGAAATGATCTAGTAACTGATGTAAATCTGGTACAATGCATCTCTTCTCTTAGGAGATTCATGTTCTTGTGCATTGCCCCTGATAAATAAATACAAACCAATACAATGTATAGCCCTTACATATTTTATCCTTGTCTCTAGGTCTTAGGCCAGGATATTAATGACTTCCCACTACCTGATGTTAATCTTATTGGAGAACACTCTGATGCAGCTGAGCTTGGAAGGATGTTACAACTTATATTGGGCTGCGCTGTCACCTGTGAACAGAAACAAGGTGAATATTGGATTTAAGAGGCCAATGTCCTGTGTTGTCTCCCTGCTTTACCCACTGATTCAGAAAGTTATGTTCTACTTTATACTTAATAACACATAATTTTGGTTTTCTCTCTAATCCCTAGAATACATCAAAACCATAATGGTGATGGAAGAATCAGTGCAGCATGTTGTCATGACTGCCATCCAAGAGGTACCTTGTTATCTATGTGCATATAATAACTAATAAATGAAAGTAAGAATCTTTGATTCTTGCTTTTTAGTGATCAACAGCTAACTGGTCACATTTTTATGGATAAAAAACACACTCTGGTCACTGGTACTGTTAATTATAAATTTGAAACCTATTCGATTCAGGAATAATACTGATGATAAATAGTAATATTGATACCAATAAAACTAATGGTATCCATCGCTAGTGTTGTTTGCACTTCTAATCATTTTTGTTTGTATCTGTAGCTGATGACTAAAGAGACTCCAGCTACAGGAGGAACTGACTCATATGTGGATCTGGACAGACAGGTATGTAGATTTCAAGCTTTGACAAGATCCTATGCAGCATTTCACTCAGGTTGAGATCTAGACTTTGACTCCGTCATTGCAACAGCGTGATCGTTACTTTTTCAGCTATTCTCTTGTAAATTTGCTGCTGTGCTTGGGATAATAGGTCTGTTGGATGACCCAATTTTGGCCATGCTGTCAGACAGATGGCCTCACATTTGACTCTACAATACTTTGGTATACAGATCAGTTCATGATCCACTCAATTACTATAAGGTGCTTCATACCATCTGTCAGCCACAGGATATGGCTGACAGATGGTAGATGCGCTGATAGGCTGTATTTGGTTTTTCCTGTGCATTGTCACCAAACATCTCCGGTTTGGTCTCGTCTGTCGTCTGTCCAAAGATCTGCTCTTTTCCAGAGCTCTTGTGCTTTGCTCAGATGTAGCTTTGCAAACCCAAGTCTTATTTCTATGTTCGTTTTAGTGGGAAAAAAATCCTGGCAACCCATCAAAACTATCCATACTTGTATACTTGTTCAGTCTTTTTCTATGAACTTTTTCTCATAATCATGTTAGAGCGAAGAACAGCATAGGCTTGAACAAAGTTGTGAGGGTAGCCAGCAAAATAATAGTTTTCCCACAGACTACTCCCTGCTGTATATGAGCAGCAGGTAGTGTGAAAGGCCTTGAGCTATTGTGCTGAGCCAGATTCATCCCCTTCAGAGAATTTGAACCACTTCCTTCAGGCTGCAGACGGAGAAGAACACGAGTAAGATGTCATAGAATCTAAACTTTTTTATTACCTGTGCAATAGCGTTCTTTAGTTTTATGTCTCTCTTATTTACCTGGATTTTTGTTTGTTTTGGGGGGGATTTTTTTGGAGGATTATGTCTTATGATTTTGTGTACTTGGTATCTTTTGGATGTAGATTTAATAAAAACAATAAAAACAACAATGTTTTTATTGTTGTGTGTAGTTTTACTGCCTTCATATTGTTCACGTGGATGATTTCAGAGTCTTTCTATAAACCTTCTTCTTTGCTATTGGATTAGATTGAATTAAAAATGTTTGTTTTTTTTCTCTTTGTTTGTTTTTTTTGATCAGTAAATCCACTGATTAGCAGCACCTGACTGCTACTTACCCTCTTAATTTATATGAAAACAGTAAGGATGTACTTCACTTTTGACAAATCTGCATAGAATTGTTTTCCTTTTTTTTATTAAGTGTACTACATAAAACATTTTGAGGAGCAACAGTTCTTGATTTATGCTTAATCTGTTTTCAGCTGAAGAAGACAGTTGAGGAGCTGAATGATGCTTTGGCTACCAAGGAAGAGATTGCCCAGAGGTGTCGCGAGCTTGACTTGCAGGTTGGTTTTGTATGAATAACGCCCAGTGGTTTTAGGCTCTTCACGGCTAGCACCGTGTACATTTACTCTGCCACTACACTCCACTACAAGCTATTACAATAAGGTTGTGAACAACTTGGCAACTTTTTATTCTTACTTTTTCTGCTCTAACTCATTTGTTACATAAGTGTCATACTTCATAATATAGTTTACAGATATTTTTAATTACACTTTAAAAGCAGCTCCATTTTTGGATTGATGTCATCAAAATTGTTGAATCCGTTGCTACTGATTGGCATGTCCCATTTAATAACTTCCTTGCCAAATTGGCGATCCGACCCACCAGACCAAAATCTTCTCTGTAAATGAAAGACCGAGATGCTTTTTTCTGTTAATTGCAGTTGTTGCCAAAAAGTGGAGCTGTAATTTAAAGGGATACTTGCTCTCCACTTGTGTTGAATCAGTTTCCTCTTATCTTTCCTCTTTACTCTTTCAATACTGTTTGCCTTGGTTTAAAGGCTCTCCGTGCCCAAGAGGAGCGTGATAGACTGAGGTTAGACTTTAATGAGCTAGAAGAGAGGGTAAATCCAAACTTTATTTTCTTTGTTTCTTTCTTATGTTCATGGTGTGTGATTTTTCTTTAGCCTGCTTGCAACAGGTTCCCCTTTTCCAAATTCTGTGTGCATGTATGTGTACACATTTGTGCACAAGCATTTGTGCAACTGTACACATTGTCCTGTTGGAGCACACCAGGCACAACTGCAGTTTGGTCTGGCTGTGTCAGATGTGGCTTTCTTTTACCTTGGTGTGTCCCATGCTTTTCCACAGCAATAGTAGAAAGCGAGGGAAATAGTTTAACATTTCATAAATTCAGAATTCATGAATTCAGAAATGAGTCACTTATTGGAAGAATGCGTTCATCACTGTTTAAACATATGCAGTCTTCAAATTTTTATTTTATTTATTTTTTTGGTTGCATAACTCTGATCAGCAAGCAGTCAGCAAAATTATTAAGCCTGTACCTGAAGGCACTTGGTATCTTTTGAGGAACCTGTGAGCTGGTTTTGGAATTAATTGCAGCTGATTTCCACCCTGTTTCCTGCTTTTTGAGCTGTCTGGTTTGCATCTTTGATGTGATACAGTTTTGTTGCCATAAGGGAATTTTCACAAGGGAAAGTTCCTCTGCTTCACATTCACAACAGTCTTCGTAGGAATTTTGTTAAGCTTTTTAGAAGAGAGAGTGAGTCACACCATATTTGTTTTAAATAAAATAAAAAAAGAGAAAATAGATTCACTAGATAACTTTCCTAAAGTCCCAGAAGGATTAAATTATTTTCCAGTGTTTTAAGTCATGTTTATAGACTTGATCCAGGCAAATTAATAAAAATCCCTATATTCATTTTTTTTTTAAAAAAAGGTTTGTATTTTCTCTCAACAAATTATATCAATATAGCTCATTTTTACTGTTTACATTAAAATGCAGCAGCACCTAGCTTTTGCTTTGCTTTGCCCATCACACTGAGAAAACACCAACCATGTAGCCCTCTCTGCCATGTTGGAGTTAATTGATTTGCCTTATTAAGGTGTGTTTGGTGTGTCTTTGTTAAACTAATGGACCTGGATGCTGTAAAGGAAACAAGCAAATTTTACCTACACTGTGAAAGTTATAAATCATCTCTAACTTGTTTCCCTTCTGCATCTCTTCTTTTCATGTGTTTAAAATCCCTTCAATCCAATCATTTCCACACCTTTTGTGTTCCTGTTAATCCTTCTTTTCTCCACGCTGTCCCATTTTTTTTTTTTACCTTTTCTTATCCCATTCCTCTCATTTCACTCATGATTTCGTGTATCCCATTATTTGGCCTTTTCTTCAACACTTCCCTTTCTCCAGGTGGCAGCCCTGCAAGAGGAGAAGAGCAGTTTGCTAGCAGAAAACCAGGTCTTAATGGAGAGACTTAACCAGTCTGACTCCATAGAGGATATAAACAGCCCTGCTGGACGCAGACATCTTCAGCTGCAGACGCAACTGGAGCAGCTACAGGAAGAAACCTTCAGGTCTCGATTTGCATGCAACGTGAAAAGGAATTTCAACAAGTCAGGGTTGAATTGATTAATGCCCAAAATCTGCAGGCTCAATGACACTTGTTTCTAATTCCCTCTAGGTTGGAGGCAGCAAAAGATGATTACCGGATCCGTTGTGAGGAGCTGGAAAAAGAACTTTTGGATGTGAAGTCCCAGAATGAAGACCTTACATCACTGGCTGATGAGGCCCAGTCTCTAAAAGATGAGATCGATGTCCTCAGGTATTGTGAGGATGCAAAACGAACCCTTAACATATTAAAATTATTAAATTAAAACAAACTAAAAAACTAATAAGATAGGAGATTTGTTGTTTGTAGTAATTCTAGCTAAGGTGCTGTGAAGCACAAGTTTTAATTTTAGCATTCATTCATTAGTAGATGTATTGGCCTAAAGACAGAAAATAAAAGAGCCAAGAAAACACTATGGCTTAAAAAACTTTTAGCTTTACAGCTTGTTATCTGTCCATAAACTAAACTTTAACTAATCCAGTGTGGAAATCAGCAGGATCAGTATGACAGTGGTGAAAATAAAACTGCTTGTTGTTTTCCTCGCAGGCACTCATCTGACAAGGTGTCAAAACTGGAGGGCACCGTGGAACACTACAAGAAGAAACTGGAGGACATGGGACTGCTCAGAAGACAAGTACAATCTCTCTCTCACACATGCACGCACGCACAGCAACTTTAATACAGCTTTTATTCTCATGAGTGTTAACACTGTAGTTCTTGAAAACGTGTAAATCAGATTGTGAAACATGACTTTCAGTCTAAAATATTTATATCCGTATTTTCCAGAACAAGCTTATGGAAGAGAAAACCACAGCTTTAATGCAGGGTAATGTTGGCTTAGAGGAAGAGCTACGAAAGGCGAATGCTGCCAAAGCCCAGTTGGAGACATACAAGAGACAGGTACCTGTTCCTAAATAAATACCTTTTACATTTTCCCAGTCTTAGTACTGTAATCCAATTCTGTTTTACAATTTTCATGCTTGTGTAATCATTTTTTAGCGATCAGGTCTTCTTTTGAACTGTCATCTCTCTTCACAGGTGGTTGAACTTCAGAACAGACTGTCAGAGGAGTCTAAAAAGGCGGACAAGATGGAGTTTGAGTATAAACGCCTCAAAGAGAAAGTTGATTCTTTACAAAAAGAAAAAGATGTACGTATATTTAATGTGACTATAATTAGGACTGATGAAATACAAAAGAATTACTTTAATGTTTTGTTTGTTTTGTTTTTATGAAATATGCCACTTTACTGTTCTTTCAGACCTGTTTTTCTTTTTAGATGAAATCAAATTTGTTACAGCTAGAAAAGCCAAACCTTGTAACTTAGCATGAGAGGAAATTTTGACCAAAGGCTCTTGATAACTGGTACTTACGCCCAGCTGTCTGGAAAGTATTTTACTGGAAATGTTTTACTACTAAGCACACTGATGTTGATTCCAGATCCTGCACTTTGGCTGTTTGACCTTCTGTCTGTCTTGCTCATTCACACGTTTGACTCTTTGTCTCTTTATAGCATATGCGAAGTGAGAGAGATTCATTGAAGGAAACTATTGAGGAACTACACTGTGTTCAAGCTCAAGAGGGACAGTTCACATCAGGTGAAGAAATGTCTTTGTCCTGAAATATAATAGGTGTAGCTTTGCCTCTTATAAGTTTAATGAATTCTTGCTCATCTTATTTACAACGAATATCTGCATTTAAAGGTTTATTCCCATTGGGTAGCAACGATGGTTCTGATTCACTGGCTGCTGAGATCACAACTCCAGAGATGCGGTATGTGTGTGTGTATATATATGTTTTATCCCATATGTTTTTGCGCCAGTTTGATTATTTTAAATGAAAGAGAAGAATATGATGGACAGATCCAATAATGATATTAGATCATCCTAGAAGTTAGTTTTTTAAAATAAAAAAGAACAAAAAACGAATGATTGAGTAACAAATACAACAGCAAACTATGCAAAAAGAATATAAGTAATGCTCTGGTAAAATAAATTTGCTTTTTAAGGCTTGATTCCTAAATTTTGGATAGTAAAATATGTCTCTAGTGTAATTTATTTTACAACCAGATAGTTTCAAGCCCGCTTCAAGGCTTTCTCTGCTGTTATATGGTGGATGGGTTTCGCTTAAAAACCCTGTAGAGCGTTATGTAATAATTGAGTGTGAGTTACATCAGACTGCCAGCAGCTTTCCAGGACAGCTGGATTTTCTGTTGGCTGGATAATATGCTTAAATTTTTATTCAGTACTTGTGAACCCAGGAAAAATGTGGATTTGTATACAAATCTTCTAAAAGCTACTTTCAGGGAGAGGGAAGGTTAACCCCATCCAGGCAGTTCATTTACTGTAAAGGTAAATGATGAAAACATGTTGTTTTGTGAATGACTAATGACTTTTCGTTCCAGTTGATGTCTTTTGGTGACTTTTCAGTATCAACATGCTGCTTTTATAAGAGGCACCTGTTGCTTGTTAATTTAATCTGAACTGTAAAACAGTGAGTCGTACTCGCAGCTGAAAATTCAGTCCCTCAGCCAACTGCACCTCACCTGAAAGTCGTAGTCAGTACCTGTAGTCAGTAATAAATTGTTTGGAAACAGTCAGTTCTTCAGTTGGAATGGATTCATGTGCCATGCCCTAAAAACAGGGCTTGACACAAAGCTTCCTAGCCATCCTGCTGTTTCGGTGATTAGCTGAATGTAAGGCTCTCAGGTGCTTTATATTCATTTGGCTGTCTGTCACACTAGAGCCCAAGACAAGGCTGGCCTCAAGCTTTATCTCCTGCTGTATTAAATACAGGGTATATCCAACCAAATTTGTGTAGATAACATTTTTGACTCAAGTGTGGAATTTGTCAGATTTAACCCACTGCTGTAACACTGTCAGGAACACTAAAACGGAGCAGCCATAGGTATAATTCATTAAGCAGACAGTGTTGTAATAAGGTGATTCACTACAGTGATTAGTTACGCTGAAGTGAATATCTCACTTACACTCACTACTTGACCTGAGCTTGCTTTTGTGTATGTTTCCGTGCACAGGAGTACACCATTTCAAAGTGAGCCCTCTTCCTGTTGTGGTTGAGGTTTCCCTTTCTGCACGTTGTCCCCTATACTAACATGAGATGATACAAAAAGTAAATAACATAAAATATTGTAAATTTTAAGTTCATCATTTAGATTAATATTCTGAAGCATTTTTGAGACTGTGGTATAAAACAAGTATGGTTGTTACTTGAGTTTAACGCTCTTGATGCTTCTGTGTTTCTAGAGAACACGTGATCCGTCTTCAGCATGAAAACAAGATGCTGAAACTGGCTCAGGAGGGATCAGACAATGAGAAGATCGCACTGCTGCAGAGTCTACTCGAGGATGCCAACAGGAGAAAAAATGAACTGGAGACAGAGAACAGGTTGGCATCGAGCACAAAGACATTGGTATTGGCTTATTGGTATTAACAGGAAATCACCTATTACTGAACCCAGTGTCTCACTGATATAGAATCTGAGAAGAGCAAACAATAATATTGTTCTTCCTTTTGGTCTGTTCATATTAATATTGAGCCACATTTTCACTTGTGTGCTGGAATGTGGGCCATTCTCGCCTTTACTTCTCCACACAGATGTTCTTGTCTTTGTTGTATTTCAGTGAATGACTTATCAGCTAAAAATCTCCTTCTAATATTGGATCTACAACAGTTTATTTTGCAGTTTGGTCATTGATTTGTTGAAAATAACAACACTGTCGTGAAACTTTGTACTTGTTGTCTAGGTTGATAAATCAACGCTTGATGGAGGAACAGAGTCAGGTAGAGGAGCTACAGAAGAATCTTCAAGAACAGGGTTCAAAAGTAGATGATGTAAGTAAATGCTTGTACTCATACTGTACTGTGTGCAATTCCAGCACCAGTTTACTGGTGGCAGTAAACACAGAAAGCAATCAAACTACACTTCAGAGAGTGCTCTGTTTCTACTGATGGCTTAAGGTCCTGGAAAGTCATGTGCAATAGTGAAAAAGGCAACGAACATTTTTTTCACAACATCAGCCTTTTTGATTCTTCTGCTTACCTAAATGCACTGTAAACATTAACAACTTCTAACAGCTTTTGCATTCCCCTTTCTGCGCATATGTCATTTTATTCATTCATTTTATTGATATACTTTATTTATTTACAATTATTTCAGCTGTAGCATTAGACACCCTAGCTTTCTTGGGACAACGTCTAGCCGTGTTAAAGACAGGTGTTTGAGGCTTGATTGCGACAGTGAACGAGATTAATAGAAGCTCCTCAGCAATTCAGCAACTCTAATTTTTCTCCATCTTATTAACACATTTGCCTGCCGCCTCACCTCTGATGCTAAATGTTTTCATGGCCCTCCTCTCTGTTCCTTGTCTCTTTCAAACTAGTTCCTAGTATGGGACAACAGATTTGTAAGAAAATGCGATTTGGAGCATCTCCCAGGAAGGTTGATGTGAGGAAGAGAGTTTACGTGCATGTTTAACTTTATCTTTACTGCCTGATTAACACTGATCTAAAACTTGTTTTCTTTTGTGGGGTTTCTGGTTTAATTTCTTGCCCGTCACTGTAGCTCAGTATCAGCCTCATCTTTCCTTTCACTCAATATCATGAGAACAGTGTATAAAATCATGCAAACAGAAAGAAGAGAATGGAAAACTATTTCCCTCAAATAACATTGAAAGTACAGATGCGACATTTATGTGAGAATCAAAGATGTGAAACTGTCAGATTATTATATGTCACATCTGGCACCTCTTTTTAATTTTTGCCATTTTGTTCTTTTGTTATTATTGTTATTTTCAAACTGTTCTCCACTGTCAGACTATAGTAAGTATATCTTTGTGATTTCAGCAAGTTGCAGCTTTTAGACTTTTCAGTTCTGATGTTTGCATAGCTTTTTATAACATTTTTATATTAACAAAAATGTGTAACCGAATGTAGCATTTACACTTTAGAGTAGTAGCAAGTCGCAAATATTCTCTGTTCTTGTGAGTAGTTTTAAATCCCCTCCGCTGATAGAAACCCCAAAGTCCTTGTCTTCTCCTCTAGCTTCCCTGTAGCAATCAGAGCATGTAATCTTTCAGTACTCTGAAAATGAGTTTTGTCTATACTGGCTGCACGTTGCCTTGATTTCAAATTGGGGACTGGTGCTGATTCAAAATGTAAAGAAATTAGGTTCCTGCTTTAATAGTACATTCTCAGTATCATCAACACTTTGACTATACTGAAGGTCTCTTCATCTCTTCATCTTTCCACATCTTGGATCATGATCTTTTCCAAAAAACAGTTCAACGTACAGGAATGATTGAATTTTGATACCACGATTTCTAACACGTTTGCCCGTTTTGTTTGTTTTCTTCTTTTTCTTCCAGTCTTCTATTTTGAAGAAGAAATATGAGGAGCACATGTGAGTGTGTTTTAACTTAATTTGCCCATGTCGCTTAATTCTGCATTTCATATTGTGAGCTACCTGATATAAGGCGTGATATTCTTTTTCTTAGGGAAAAAGTACAAGAGCTGAATAATGAACTGCTGAAGAAAAATGCCTTCATTGATGAAATGGAGCCAAAATACAACACCAGCAGTGAGTTTACGGTGATATCTGAATATGCAAAACACGCTGACATTTAAAACATTTTGTGTGTAATGTTGCTGTACAGGTAACTCTTCATAAACTGACATTAAAATGTATGAGTTAGTTTAAAGGAAATCTAAACTAAGATGCTGTTTCCCCTCTCAGTCCAACGAGTGGAGGAGCTGGAAGAGGCTTTGAAGAAAAAAGATGAAGACATGAAACAGATGGAGGAGCGATACAAGAAATACCTCGAAAAAGCCAAGAGTGTGAGTACATGTTTACTAGCAAAGGGTCCATAAATGAATAGTCTTCTGTAGGGCGAGCTGTATGGGACACAAAAAAACCCCCAAACATAACCTGAATTTGTCCTTCACAGGTAATCCGAACGCTGGACCCCAAACAGAACCAAGGTTCAGGTCCTGAAGTCCAAGCCCTAAAAAACCAGCTGCAGGAGAAGGAGAGGATGTTGCATTCACTGGAGGTAATCAATCATCTACTTGGGAATTAGGGTGCCTGAAAAAATGTCCGGCCTGTCAAAATAAGTAATAGATGGACTCACGTGCCAATATTTGTTTTAGAAACATCCTCCACTCTAAGGTTGATTTTGCCTTCATGTTTCCTCCAAACAGAAAGAAATGGACAAGACAAAGAGCCAAAGAGATCACGAGGAGAAACTGATTGTGTCAGCCTGGTACAATATGGTGAGGAGCACCTATACAGTCTGAAACAAATCCTGGTGATACAGGCGATTGGTCTTCTTTTTAAAATGCACTGTGGCACATACAGCTGAGATTTGTGGCCAAGCAAGTAATAATAGCAATACACAGAAACAGCTACTGTCAGGAAGTAATTCATAGCTGAACAAAGCATCTACTAAAGCATTGAAAAACAAAAATGTTATAATAGGAGCTTTTTTTAAATGTTGCGTATGTTTTCTGCTGTAGATAACAGATATAACACAATTTCTCTACCACAGAGGGTAAACACCCCTTTTTGTTTGCCCAAGAAAGTCACCACTAGATGGCAGCACAGACTATTCAATAACGTCAATGGCTGTTTGCTCATTATATATCTGATCATTTGCTGGTATTATTGTTCATGAGCTGCTAAATCAGCACTAATGTTGAATGTCAGCTAATTTAATTTCCTATACCTCAGGCTTGGTGGACTAACTAGCAGATAATCTAATGACTGTCTTAATATGTGTGTTAACAGTCTGTGCTCCTTCTTGAGGGCTGTCTTTGACTTGGAGTGTTGCTGATTTGTAGTGACTTTCAAATGGGGCCTTAAGCTTTCCTCCTCTGTTTCTTTTACCAGGGTATGTCTTTGCAGAAGAAGGCTGCTGAAGATCGACTCGCCAACACTGGTTCTGGTCAGTCTTTCCTGGCCCGGCAGAGACAAGCCACCAGCACACGGCGCCAGTATCCCGGCCACGCCCAGTCAGCTACCGCCAGGTAGATGGCAGTAGGGCACGAAATGCTGCAGCCAGCTATTTTACAAGTCCCCCGAACAATGTGCCTATTTTGAGGCATTCTGTTTTCATTCATTTCTAATGGAAGTAAATGTTTTCCTGCATTTCCTGCCGATTGATTTTCTTTTTTTTTCCCTTCTTGATCAGATCCATGAGGTAGAGATGCCAAGAAAGGTTGCCCCAAATCTTGCACCTTTTTTTTTTTCTCCTCCCCTTAAGCGTATTTTACCTTGACGCCCATGATGCAAGACTTCTACCTTTTATCAGGCTTCAGCATATTTAATAGGTTCTGACCAATCACACCAAACATCCTTTCTTCCTCCCTCTCTACCACTGACCCTTTTGAACCTGTGCTATGTAGTAAACTTGTGCCATGCAGGTAATCCAGACCGCAAGGCTCAGAAGAATCGTGTGTCCTTGTCAAGTTACTGTAATTTTTGATAAGAGGAACCGCTCTACCTGTTCATGCAGTATTTATGCACATCTCTACCTGTAGTAACATTTTCAAGTTCAGCTTGTTTTTTGCAGTGGACTTGACAGCTTTTCTGTCCTGTGTCATCTATTGTAACTCTTTATGATGTAGCTTTAAGGAGGTAAAAGCAACTTTTAGTTTAATGTGTCAGTGTTTCATTTCACAGTCTCGACCAGCAAATACATCAAAGCATAGGATTATGTAATGTCTCGTGTAAATCTTTGATTTGCTTGCTAAATGTTCTAACTGATTTAATTGAGTGATTTCAAATAGGACTGCATGATTGTTGGTAATGGTGCAGCAATAATTGTGAATGGTAGCTTTTTTTTCCCGAAGAAAAAAAAAAAAGAAGACTTCTTTAGGTTTTGAAATTGTTCCAGGTGGTGCAATTTAAGACTTGATAGATTTCCTGTGCTAGTGTACATACTGGTGTAAATTAGTTTTAAGTATCTAAGAGAACAAGGAGCCACCAGCATTTACAGAGTTGACAGACAACACCTTATGTGCCATAGTGTTTGATATAAATGTCTGTACCTTGGCAATCTGTCAAGTTTACCTTCCCCCCTAATATGACGTGACAAAATAATGTATTCACAGAACGTTTAGCGGTGAGATGGTTGGAGAGTTTTAGACCTGAGGACTGTCTGTTGAAAGAGATTTAGTTTCTGGATCATCTGCAGAGTGGACATGAAGACCTGTTCAGTGTCACACATCAGAGTGGACTGTTCCATATCACTTTCTATAATCAGCTCATTGCTGTCACAGTAAAAAGCACTTTTTTTCCAGGTTTGCTAAAGGGTGTTTAAAATGCAAACTACATACAGGTATATAACTTTAAATGGGAGTCTTGAATAGGGTATGCTTTTCTCAATATGTGTTTAACCGATTGTTTGTTCCGTTGTCATTTTCCAGTTTTAACGCATATCAGGAATCATAACTTACTAACCTTGAAATAATTTTGCTTAGTGTTAGATCAGGGGCAGATTGTTGATTTTAGGCTAAAAAGCCCTGCCATCTGACCATTACTTCTTTTCTTTTTTCTTTTTTCCCCCTCCCTCAACAGCAATGTCCCTGCATGACTGGCACACCAATGACCTGCCCGAGCCTTGTGTAGCCTGGCCTGTTCTTTATGTGGCCTACACTGACCCCCAGCTGGGCTAGGCTGTGGCACGCGTGCATGAACTACCTACCTGTTTGCATGACTTTGCATTGACTCAAGTCTGCGAATAACCAGCCCACTAGCAGCAGCGCGAGCACTAACAACCCTCTGCGGTGTCACGCATTATAACCTCCAGACAAGCCCGGGGAGGAACGGGATTGGAAAAGAAAACCTTCACTCTCCTTTCCCCTGTTAATTTTTCCACCATTCCGACTCCTTTCCCCTCACCCTGATGCTCTTTGTTACATTCTCTCCTCCTTCTCTCCTCCTCCCCTCTTGTAGCCTTCATAAACATGCCTGTTTGTTTGCTTCCACACTGCATCAAGTCTGTTACACCTATGTTACAAACAACCAGGAAAAAGGAGTGGAGTAAGCAAGTTATCTGTCAGTCAAGTTTTGGGTTTAAATAGGCCTGTTCTCTAGTATTTATGTCTAACCTGGTTTTGTTTGGCTGCTTAGGGACACCTCAATGACATATTCCTGCATAATCTGTTTATTTGTGTGGCTCGAGGATTGGGGTAATATTTGAGAGGTATAACCTGCAAATAACAAAACAGGACTCCATTCTGTTTTTAACTTCTACAGTAAGTATTTTTTATGAAAGCCCTGAACATGTTGCTAGATTGCATCTTAAAAGTGCTTTTACCTCAAGTATTGAATGCAACCAGTTTTGGACTAAAGGCAACAATGCTGCCCGAAAAGTGTTTGCAGAGATATAAATATAAAGTGTTTAAATGAAAGACATTGTTACAGATGTGTTTTGAAAAGCAGTAAAAGCCCTCATTAAGCCTGCTTGCAGTTTTTTGTTTTGTTTTGTTAAACGCACATCTACATAGTGTTTCTGATATTAGCCAAATTTCAGTTGATTCCTAATTGATTAATAATTTTTTTTAGAAGCAAATAACCTGTGCCCTACCATATCTC